CTCAGTGTTCTAGGTCAAGATCACATTGCCCTCTCTACTTTCGGTAGTGCATCGAGGAACACGTCTCAGTACCCACGCGTCGAAGTCAATCTCAAACTGAAGAATGGCTCAATCCTTCCGCTGTCCGCCAATGTGATTCCCCAAATCACTTCACCGATATGGCGCGTCCCCTTGGACACCAACAGGCACCCGAGCCTCAACACCCTTCCTCTTGCGGAGCCGCTCACGTCATCCAACGATCGCCTGTGTATCGACATCCTCATTGGTCTTGATTACTACTACAAGATCCTGGGCACAGACCGCATCTCCTTTCCCGATGGCCTGCAGCTTTTGGACTCGTCACTTGGTTTCGTTTGCGCCGGAACAGTAGCAACTGAGCACGCCTGTTCGGTAATCGAGACCAACACCACCTTAGCCGTAGCAAGTCATCGACGTGAAGATCCCTCGTTTGACCTTGAGCGCTTCTGGGCTGTTGAAGATTTCGACTCTCTCAGTGCGACACGCCCCAGCAACGATCATGCGTATGACGACTTTCTCCAATCGGTCGTGTTTGAGGACGGACGGTACACCGTCGGGTGGCCTTGGCGACAACAACATCCGCCTTTGGAAAACAACTTTCCACTTGCTTTCGGACGTTTGAAGTCACTCATTAAACGTCTCCGTCACGAGCCTGATACCTTCGTCAAGTACAGCAAGGTACTTGAAGAGCAACTATCACTTGGTATCATCGAACGCGTTGCTTGTCCCAGCCAGAGAGACAACTCGCATCCAATCCACTACTTGCCACATCACTGTGTTTTCAAGCTGTCCAGCAGCACCACTAAGATCCGTGTCGTGTACGACGCATCCGCTCGTGTATCGAAGACCTCGCCCAGTCTCAATGATTGTCTGTATCCTGGGCCGTGCATGATCCCTGATCTCTGCGGCATTCTCCTGCGTTTCCGCATGCACCCTATTGCCGTCTGTAGTGACATCGAGAAGGCGTTCTTACAGATGAATTTGAACGTAGCCGATCGTGATGTCACTCGTTTCTTGTGGTTGGATGACCCCAACCAACCAGTCAACTACAGTAATCTCCAAACTCTGCGTTTCTGTAGAGTCCCTTTCGGTGTTGTTTCCAGCCCTTTCTTGCTGTCTGCAACGATCAAGTACCACCTCACGCAGACCTGTTCACCGGAGACAGACGACATTCTCCGAAACACGTACGTAGACAACATCATCCTGGGCAAGGACACCATCAACGATGCTGTCGCTCACTATCAATCAGCAAAGGCGACGTTCTCCGCAATCAGCATGAACCTTAGAGAGTGGGCATCGAACTCTTCCGAAGTTTTGGACAAGATCCCAGAACACGATCGCTCAAGAAGCACTCGCGAGAAATGCCTTGGTCTCCATTGGGACCCCAGAGAGGACGTCTTGTCCGTACAGTCGCCTAATGCAGCTAACCTTGTTGTCACTACGAAACGCCAGGTTCTACAGGCACTGTCTCGCTTCTTCGACCCGCTTGGCTTGTTCGCCCCCGTGTCCATCAGAGCGAAGGTTCTTATGCAAGATATCTGGAAGCTTGCTGTGTCATGGGATGACCCACTGCCCTCCGACGTCCTCAGTCGCTGGCACCCAATAGCCGCCGACCTTGACGAGTCTAGCAGCTATCCGATCTTGCGCTACGTCGGTGTACCCACATGTAAGAGTCCGTCGTATCAGTTGCATGTCTTCTGCGATGCGTCAGCGATCGCCTATGCTGCCGTTGCGTACTTGGAAAGCACTGTCGGTGACAAGAATCAGCGGCACATCATCTTCAGCAAGACGAAGGTGTCTCCCGTCAAGGGTCAAACGATCCCACGGTTAGAGTTGATGGCGGCAAGCCTAGGATCTCGCCTTATCGTGTATCTACGCAAGCAACTGGACATCCAGTTCCAAGCCACTCATCTGTACACCGACTCAACGACTGTACTCCATTGGCTCAAGTCCACGAAGCTCCCCGTCTTTGAGCAGAACCGCGTCAACGCCATCGCAGCCGTTCCAGACGTTCTCCACCACTACGTCCCGACAAAGCTGAATCCAGCCGACCTGCCATCCCGTGGATTGAGCGCCTCAGCCTTGTTAAAATGCGACACCTGGTGGAACGGCCCCAGCCTGCCGATTGAAGGCACCACTGCAGCAACCGTCACTGTTGCGCCGGCGGAGGGTCCTCTGGAAGTCACCTCAAAGGGGTCGGGGGGTCAGCCATTTGGTCAGGGTTCACAGACAAATAAAAAATCTGATGCATTCCCATATGGCATTGTTGTGAACGACTTCTCGTCGTTCGACTCTTTAGTGCGTGTGTCTGCACTTTGCTTTCGTTTCCTCTGTAGGCTGCGGAAGAAACCAACTCCATCTGGACCTCTCACGCCTAGAGAAATCGAAGCAGCAGAGCAAGTCTGGATCAGCCACAGCCAGTCTGCACACTATGCAGATGTTATCACCGCTCTGTCCAGTGGGAAGCAACATCCGCTGGCAACTAAGCTCAACTTAGTGCTCGACAACGGAGTACTGAGATGCCGTGGAAGACTGGAGAATGCTGACCTCTGCTCCAAATCGAGGTTTCCCGTCCTGATCTCCAAGGAACACGCCATTGCCAACCTGATCATACGTGATTGCCACCTCAAGGTCATGCATGGCGGCGTAGCGCACACACTATCCCGTGTCCGATATCAGTTTTGGATCCCGAAAGGCAGATCAGCTGTAAAGGCCCTCGTGCGCCGCTGTCAGACGTGCATTCGCTACGAAGGCGCGCCATACAAGACACCTCAGATGAGTCCGCTACCTTCTACCAGAGTGACCCAAGCGCGACCATTCTCACACATCGGCCTGGACTACTTTGGCCCAGTCCTCGTCCGTACACAGTCAGAAACCGCTAAGGCATGGGTCTGCCTGATCACGTGCATGGTGACCAGAGCTGTTCATTTGGAGCCAGTCCACGACATGACAGCTGTCGAGTTTCTGCTCGCATTGAGACGTTTCGTCGCCCGCCGTGGCACGCCAGAGCTAGTTGTGTCTGACAACGCTCCCCAATTTAAGCTGGCCAAGTCCGCTCTTGACATTGCCTGGAGCAACATTGTGGTGGACACCAGTGTTACGTCCTACATTAGCCGCCATCAAATCCAGTGGCACTTCATCGTTGCCAACTCTCCGTGGATGGGTGGAATGTATGAAAGGCTTGTGGGTATTGTCAAGCGTTCTATGCGCAAGACCATTGGGAGACGCCTCCTCACATCCAGCCAACTCGCCACTCTCCTGCCAGAAGTTGAGTCTGTCGTCAATTCTCGGCCGCTAGTCTATGTCGACGAAGAACAGTGCACAGTCCTGACGCCTGGTCATTTTATCAGCCTGTCTGCCACACAGGGGTTCTTCACGGTCAGCAACGACCCGACCGACCCGGATTACCAGCCTATCAATTCCTCTGCAGACAGCCTGTTGGACCTTTGGAAGAAGGGCCAACGACATCTTGATCAGTTCTGGCTCGCCTGGAGGAACGAGTACCTCCTCAGTCTGCGAGAAGCCCACACGTCATCGTTCAAGCAGTCAAGGACTCGATCCTCAACGTTTCCGAAGCCTGCTGACGTTGTCCTCATCAAGGAGGAATTACCTCGCGGCCACTGGCGCCTTGGGCGAATCCAAGAAGTCCACACCAGCAGTGATGGCAACATCCGCTCTGCCACCGTCCTCACTTCGGACAAACGTACCATCAAGCGGCCAGTAAGCTTACTGTGTCCGCTTGAGACCAGCAGTACCTCGGAATCCCCAGGTACCCCAGCTCAGGAGACCAGCAGTACCTCGGAATCCTCAGCTACCCCAGCTCAGAAGACTAGCACTCCCTTTGCGGTCGTACGAAGACCGACACGAGCCGCTGCCAGCAAGTTTCAGTCCAACTTGCAGGATTTGATCGCCGATGGCCGTGTTTAACTCTCTCTCTCTCTCTCCCTCTCGCTCTCATTGCTCTCGCATTCTTTATGCTCTTCAGTTATCTTTCCACATGTTTTGTGTGAAATTTCTCCTTGTTATTAATTATGGTTAATTCTGTTCTCTGGCCAATGCCCGGGGAGTGTCGTGAATATGCATCACGAATCCGCGTTACGCTCATTATTATGTCTTTATTTGTTTATGTGTTACATCATGTTGACGTCATGCTGATGTCTTGCTGCACGCATCGCGTGCACCGTTTTGCGGCTCTCAGCCCGCAGCATGCGCAGCGAGCCTGTCGCTCCTTTTTTTGCTGCCTTTTCCCTTTTGCATGCTTCCCTTGTCTCTACTTGTCTCAACTAACTAGACCTTGTCTCAAATAAGGTTTTCTGGTGACACTCCTTTTCAAGTCACCTAATCCTTTCAAGTAACAAGTGCAATGTCGTTCCGTGAACCGGAACCACTCCATATTTGAGTTTACCAAGACGTATTTGTGCGTGGCTATACAAGCTCTCCCACTCAACAGTTCAAAGTTGCGCACAGAGAGCAAGATGGTCAGTGGAGCCGCAGATTCAGCAGGTCTTTAGCAGCACCGTACAGGAGACCCATATCCTCGAATCAAGGACCCAGCAAAAAGTGGGTCGCGAGTATTTCAAAAAGCGTTTACCGGGCAGCGCTGAAATTTGGCATACCGTTAGCGGGCCGTATGTTGATGGTGTAACAACTTGATGAGTCAAGGAATAGATACCCAATGGGAGTAGATAGCATGGTATATATAGGGGGGAGAGCATAGGTGATAACTAACACAATGCAAGTGTAGATGATGTAAGTGTGGGGATAAGGTGTGAATGGAAGTGTGAGGGTAAGCACTAACTCAATGCTGGTGGAATATGTCACATCTCTCCTTTCCCTAATGATTAGGAGTGTACCTTGTTAAGAGTAGGCATACAGGCAAGGTCTAGTAAAAGATGAACTATGTAGGGAATATTAGAAGTCCAATAGGCTGATGCATGGAGGTCAAGCTGCGCATGCGTGTCTAGATTCTCAATCATGTTGTACTAGTAGTAAACATAGTCATCTGCCTTCTTTTCTTTTCTATTGCGCTGCGAATAGCGAGGCTCTGCCGGACTGTCCAATCTATCCGCGTCATCTGTTGCTTCCGGAGGGGTCATACCGTCACCCACACTCCCCGGGCCAGAGGGAACGTTGTCATCACTCGTATCCGGCATGCGCGCTGCCGACTCCTGCTTGTCATCATTTTTAGGTTCGTAGTTGGTGCGTAGATGACGGGATGTGCGCCTTCTTCCATCTGTCAGTATGTATGATCTTGGCGCTTCGTGTTGTTCTCTAATACTGCTAGGTGTCCATTTCCCTCGTTCACGAACCAGCACATCGTCACCTGGCCTGAATTCTGGTCGTTCTTTTGCGGTTCGGTTATAGTAGTACTCCTGGCGAGCTTGTTGCTTTTGAAGACCTGCCGCAGGGTCCACCGTCTTGGGTTCCAGCTTTTTCGCTGGCATTGGCAGTCGGTCCCGCAGCCTGCGTCCCATGAGCACCTGTGCTGGGCTGTATTCCGTGCCGGAGATTCTGGTGTTCCGATAGTTCAGCAGCGCGAACTCTGGATCCATTGAGTGGTCTTCCAGCGCTTTTTTCAGAATTCGTTTCACTATTTTCACCACATTTTCACTTTTTCCATTGCTTTGGCTGTATGTCGGTGAGCTTGTGACTATTTTGAATTGCCACTCTTTTGCAAATTCCTTCATCTCTTTGCTCGCGTATGGCATGTTGTCTGCTATCATGACTTCCGGTATGCCGTGGCGAGAGAAGATGTTCTTCAGCTTGGTAATGACAGCTGCCGAGGTTTTGGTCGTGCCTAGACAGTTGACTTCTGGGTACTTTGAAGTGTAGTCAGCTACGACCAGGTAGTAGCGTCCATTGAACTCCAGTATGTCACTCCCAAGCTTGGTCCAAGGTAGTTTTGGTATCTCATGTGGTAGCATTGGTTCACGGCAGTTGCTTGGTTGGAATCGCTGACACACTGGGCATCGCTTGACCATGTCTTCAATATCTTGCTGGATTCCAGGCCAGTAAACACATTCCGATGCACGGTATTTGCACTTCTCCACGCCTTGGTGTGATTCGTGGAGAATCCGTAGAACATATTGTTGCATGCTGGCTGGCACAATAAACCGTTCGCCCACAAAGAGGATGCCATCCAAATATGAGATTCTGTCCCTCATGCTCCAGAATCGTCTGACACAGGGCGGTGTAGCCTTGAACGTTTCCGGCCAACCATCCTCGACGACCTTCTTCAGTAGTTGCAGCTCACTGTCTTTCTTTGTCTCTGCAATTAGCTGGTCGAGTCTCTCCTCTGTGGTGTCTGTGAGCTCGCCCATATCATAGACCAGGACGCCGTCCTCTAGGGTTTGCGAAGTTCAGCAGCGCCAACTCTGGATCCATTGCTTTTGTCTTGGTAAGTTGTCTTGATAGTAGCCGTTCCCTCTGGTCGAACCGTGCTGTGATCAAAGCCAGAGAGTATGGTAGTAGTTGTGTCAAGCTGCTGGTCCGGCCGTATGCTCCTGAAGACAGACAATGGCAGTACGGATGCCATTGCACCGGTGTCCAGCTTGAACAACGTTGGTTGTTGATCCAGGATAATGGTCTCCTTCCATCTGTCTGCTGATAGTTCACCGACTAGGATCGTTCCAAACGACCGCGTCTGAACGGCTTGCTCTTGTACTGCTGTCTGCTCTATTGCTGTGACTGCTGGTGACTTTGAAGGCGCGCATCCCGTAAGATGCTGTCCTTCGTGGCTGGAAACTCGCACATCTCCGCCATTCTACGGAGCTCCATGGTATACGAGTCAATGTCTTCATTTTCTTCCTGTTTCCGGGTGAGCAATAAGTATCGTTCCATTGTTGCATTTGCTTTCGGGATGCAGAACTCTTCGAATTTCTCCTTCAGCTTGTCAATGTCCTTCTTGTCCTCCTCTGTGTCAAACTGCAATGTTTGGTACACTTTCTGGCTATCTTCTCCTATGACATGGAGAAATACCGCGGCTTGGATGGCGCCATCCTTGTCCTTGAGTCCAGAGGCAATTGAATAAAATTCAAACGCCTGTTTGAACCGCCTCCACGCGTCCGCCTTATTGGGACAGTTTATCAGGAGCTGTTCTGGCGACTTGAGCTGGTCCATGGTCCTTGAATCTGCAGAATCTGCAGCATCCGACTTCTGACACCATGTAACAACTTGATGAGTCAAGGAATAGATACCCAATGGGAGTATTATTATTTTATTATTATTTATTCTTCTTTTACTAGGGAATTCCCAACAGGCGTCAGCGCCTTTTTACAGGGAACCCTAGGTATAAAGGGAGTAGATAGCATGGTACTTATATAGGGGGGAGAGCATAGGTGATAACTAACACAATGCAAGTGTAGATGATATACGTGTGGGGATAAGGTGTGAATGGAAGTGTGAGGGTAAGCACTAACTCAATGCTGGTGGAATATGTCACAGATGGTATAATTATGTGAAAACTAAACGAAATCGGAACAAGTTTAGGTACAATTTCAGGGTTGGTTTGGTTTGGTTTGGTTTTATTATTTCAGTTCGTTGCCTCAACAGTACAAAGTACAAATATCAAGAGGGACGAACGAAAAGAGAAAATAAAACATAGCAGAGAGGAAGATGCAACTGAAAGGAAAGAAAAACGGAGAAGGAATGTGGACTGGGCGGATTCATGAACCATTACTAGAGCAGGGCAATGCATGAACAGAAGAGGCAAATCCGTCGATATTCATGTTTAAAAAATCCAAGCCTTATTTTATTGGTGAAATACATTTTCAAAAAGGAGGGGGTATAGGGATATAGTCAATTTGTCGTCATTTAGAGCGTGCAAAAGTTCTGTAGAAAATGATCTAATGTCCTCACTTCCTTTCAAGTGAGCAGGGAGGGCATTCCACATAAGGGATGCTCTGGAGGAAAAGGAATTGTACCCTACCATGGATTTATACAAGCAAATTGACAAATTGTTTGTTGTAGTCCCACGAGTTGACCGCTTAGAGGTGGGCAAAGGGAAAAGACTGCGTAAGCATGATGCAGGCTGAACAATATGACAAATAAACGTAAACGTAAGAAATTGATAAATGTATCGATATTCAAGGTGTTTTATTTGAAGAGAAGCAAGAAGGGGTGGTACAGCATCATAATATGAAGCACCGCAGGTAACTCGTACAGCTCTACGGAACAAGGTAAACAATCTCTCCCTGGACTGTGCTGATAGGTGGGATGCGTAAACAGGGAAACAATACTCAAAGTCGGGATGAATCACACTAAGCAGGTACTGGCGACGGGCAAATGCTGCCATTTGGCGGAAGGTGCGTCGCAACGCGCCTATCTTGCGTGACACCTTGCTGGTGAGATGATCTACGTGTGGAACAAATGAGAGCTTGTTATCGATAAGGATACCAAGGCAGCGAATTACACTCACTTCCCTTAAGGTAGTGCCGCCCAGCTCAACAAGAACGGGTCTTTGTACGTCAGGAGCATTCTTCGGCAAGATCCTCATGACCACGGTTTTGTCAACATTAACGCTCATGCCCAGTGATCTTAGTTCATTGTGTAGCTTAGTGAGAGCCGAGGACACGACATCGGCGCATACTATTGGATCTCGTGAGGAAGCGTACAAAGTCTTGTCATCGGCAAACATGAGGAGCTTTGCACCGCTCCCTGCAGCCAGGTCAGGTAAGAGTCGCACATAAAGGGTGGGACCCAAGATTGTTCCCTGCGGAACCCCTCGGGTTACAGGGAGAAGAGATGATGTTCCAGAGGCTATACATACACGCTGGTACCGGCTGTTCAGGTAGGAAGCGAACCATTTCAGGGCAGAACTATGAATGCCTAAGCTGTGCAAAGTAAAGATAAGTTCCTGGTGCACAACTCGATCAAAGGCCTTGCTTAAGTCAATAAATGCTACACCGGTTGTATGACCCACATCTCTAGCCAACGTCCAGTCATTTACAGCCAAGGTCATGACCTGCACTGTTGATCGCTGGGGCCGGAAGCCAAATTGATGATCGTGTAGACAATTATACAGGTCGAAGTCCCGCAGCAGTTGGTCAAGGGCAAGACGTTCAAGAATTTTGCTGAGAATGCTCGTAAGCGACACTGGGCGATAGTTGGACGGAGAGGTGTGATCACCCTGCTGGGATTTAAGAATGGGGGTGATATTAGCGATTTAAAAAAGATGAGGGAAAGTCGAAGATTGAAGAGAAGTATTGAAGATGGCTGATATAGAAGGTGCAATAACATTGGATGTGGCCTTCAGGATACTGGGAAGAAGACAATCGGGTCCTGGTGCTTTGCTGCTGTCGAGGGAGGCAAGTCTTGCCCTGACGTCTGTTACAGTGACTTGCTTAAACATACCAAATGCAGATTGAGGCGGGGGTCCATCTGGGATGTCGTACCTGGGGTTTGGATCAGTCACTATCTTATGGAAGAAGGTGTTCAACTCGTCAGCTGCAACCGCAGGAGGGATGTGGGAACGACATCGATTAGTTATGTGGTTGATAGTGGACCACAACAGCTTTGGGTTCTGTTTATATTTTAGGCACACGTTCTGGAAATGGGAATTTATAAGGCGACGGTAGAGATTGTTGCACCGAGTTCTCAGAGAGGTAAAACATCGCTGTAATGTAGTGTCAATGCAGCCACTGGCGCGATATCGACGAAAAGCTGATTTCCTCTGGCGGATGAGTGCCAAGAGCTCTGGGGTCATGAACGGGCAGTTCTTTTGCGCGGTCTTGTGTGTCTACCAGGCTGGTTGTACGGCGCTACCACATCTAGAACAGTGTTGAATTTACCCAGCCATTCGTCAAGCATTTGATCGACGTTTGTAGACGAGAACGAAGACAAGTTTGCATGCTCAAGCAGACCTATTAACTCTGGGAAGTTGATGTTCCTATAGTCGCGGGTCTTCCAGGTAACATCGTAAGCAGGCAGTTGTGTATTGGACTTTACATCCAATGCTGCATAAACCAGATCATGATCGGAGAACTCGCAGGGAGACACTACTCCGTCTCTGACTGCAGCCAGATTTGTGAGGATATAGTCAATTGACGAAGCAGATGAGGGGGTGGTCCGTGTCGCAGAACAAACTTTGTTCAGGAGGTTAAGGGGAAGAAGTAGCGACGAGTGTAAGCTTTGATACATTGATACGAGGGTGTTTCTGTTTTGGTACCCTGTGTCTCATTCGAGCACCCGGGTCGAGATGAAATGGCCAAAAAAAGTAGCTGATCACCGTCAATATGGAGTAAATAATAATAATAATAATAATGACAGTTCGCATTTCACTCATTGCATGAGGGCAACGCATCTGTTAACAATTTCGAGCCAAGCAGCTCTATCAGAAGCAGATTGCACAGCATCCAGAAGCGACAGATTAATGCATTGTAAGTCTTTCTTGACAACGTCGATCCATCTCAGACGTGGTCGTCCTCGGGGTCGTCGTATGTCTGTTGTGTTGATTGACATTAGGAGGGCTTGGAACGAGGACGATTCTTCGCCTTCCCTCACTACATGGCCGAACCACAGCAGTCTCCGTTGCCTGCAGACTTGAGATAGTGGGGTCTGCTCGGTTCTGGCATACAGCGCTGTGTTCGAGATTCGTTGTGGGTACGTGATACCAATGATGGTACGTAGTTTTTTCCGGTGCCATACATTGACGACGTCGGTTAATGTTTGCGATAAGGTCCAAAGCGCACAATTATACAGCAAGACAGGCAATATCAGGCAGGAAAACATACACAGCCTGGAATTCAGGTTGTGGCGTTTCCATGGAATGCTTGCAAATGCCCGATTTGCAGCAGACACTCTGGCTGCTATGTCTTCTGCTGTGCCTAGCATACTCCCCAGCAGCTTCACCGATTTCCAGGAATCATCTTCCTTGGTCACAGTGAAATATTGAGTTTTTGCCACGTTCAGCTTCAGATTGTCATCCGAGAAAACGGGTTCACACACACGGACGGTTTCTTCCACAGATGATCGCTCGTTCTGATGGGCAGTGGTGTCGTCTGCGTATTGTGTGAAAGTTGCTGGTAGGTCTGACGCGGGTAGAGCTTGCTCTCGGATCCTACGCATGGAACCTTCGGCGTAAGTTATAAACATTATTGGTGACATTGGGTCACCCTGGACGACGCCGATGTTCGTTGGAAATGGTTTGCGGAGTAAATGAGCATCCCAAAATTGGATATTAATTTTTTGGGAGTTTTTGCTGAAATTACCACTTAATAATAATAATAATAATAACAGCTCGCATGCTAACGCATCTGTCGGCAAAAGAGTTAGAGAAAACATAGAGAAAACGAGAAACACATGACATACACACCTTCTTCAT